ATGATTGGATAATAGAAATCAGCAGAGCTTTCCCTCAGATATAGAGTAATTGCACTTGCAGTACACACGCAGTGCCCAGACTATTTGCCTTTAGTAAATCAACCTCAGTGTGTCAGAAATATTTCTTCCTCCTTTGTATTATATTTTGAACATTTACTAAACTAAGATACCCAGAGGAAATGGATTTATCTGAAGAAATACAAGTGATCTGAAGATTAGTGGGGGACACAGACATGGTGTCAGGAACCATGAACCAGGCAGAGACAGAAAGTGTAGTTAAATCAGACCTTTAATGAAAAAGCAAATATAACATAGACCAGGAATGTAGTAAAAAAAAACAGAAGCCAGGATGTGGATGCTAGAGCGGGTAATCGGACGAGCCGGGGTCTGGAAACCAGAAGTCAGCAGGAAAAATCAGGAACAGGAATCCGAAGAGAAGTCAGCCAGACCGAGTTGTACACATGAACACACTGGAGATCATAGACCATGAAACGGCAAGGAGGAAATGAGCTAAGCTGCTAAAACAGCCAAAAGGGGCGGGCTGTGGGCTGGCCTAATGAGGCAGGTAATGGCATCCAGGGGAGTCACGTAATGGCATCCATGGGAGTCACTGTGGAGACAATGGGTGGCTGGTAATTAACCGAGAGCTGAGCAACTTCTGAGCACTGAAAGAAAAGAGCTGCTCCTTGAGTAGTGTAAGCCGTGTACCGGGGGGGGCTCCCCAGGATACAGTGAAGTCACGAATGAGGAAACAACCCCAACACCAGCTTTTGCCACAACAGAATTTTACTTAGAAGTGGCAAATAAACACAACCACAAATGCTGGGAACATACAATAAATTTACATACACCCAGCCCAAATGCTGAGACCCTTGTGCTGCACAGCACGGCGCCTCCTGATGGATGAAGGTAGAAAGTGAAGTAATTTACCTACTGGGGGCACAACTAAGCTGCCACACCTTACCTGTTATTACCCCACAGAGCAGGAATCAGTGTATGGGTGTACAGCATGGGCTAGCCTGCGGTGCAGCACAACAGCTTACAATCTTACACAGATCTACAGTATTCCCCCCCCCATAACTGGTCCTGTAGCACGTGCCTGAGTATTCCTTCTGAGCAAAACGCCAGTCTGGCTTGAGTTTGTGGAATTTTATCAGCTCTCCAATGTGAAATGTCACTTTAAGTTGTGGAGTCCTTCCAATAATCAGTAACAACACTTGTGGCCTGACACAAACAGAGACCCTAACTAACTAACTATAGGCCTGGACTCAGTCTATAGGGACCAACACTGAAATGAGGTGCATGCACGATCTTACCGACCCGGATCTGCTTTGCATCCACTGGTGACTCTGAACAGAACAAATGTCTCTCCACTAAGCATGCAATATCACAGTATATATATTGCTTAGTTCCTCAGCGTCCCATCAGCTTCCTGGTAGCAATCTTCCTTTCTTTGAACAGGGTTAGTGTCTTGAACACCATCAGCTTCACTCAACTGAATTTCTGATTACGGTGGGCTGTCCTCACATCTGGATGGCATTGGATTCTCAGATCACACAGCCCCCCTTCTCTCTCTCAAACATGGCTGCTCTCCTCTCCTTTTCCTGTTCACTCTCCAAGTGTAAAACCCCACCCCTTCATGAATGTAGAAATCTCTATGCAGTCTGAGGCTGTGTTAGAAAAAACAGTGACATCTTGTGGCTAAACTGCAGAATGTCAGTCAGAACGTTTTTAATTTACTTCAATCAGTGTTCAAACAATGAAAGCTGTTTCCCTATCTCACAGTAGCAGGAGCCCAGCCCTGACACATGATTTGGGGGTTGTCACTAAGAAGCCAGAAAACTTCCCTTCCTGTTCTGAGAGGATGTATTGTAGTACGGGGATCAGAACTCATCCAGTCCGCTTCCTAAACCCTATTATGTGTTATGGCAGGGAGGGGGTCATACATACACTGTATGTACTAACACAGTAGTAGATTAGATAGTCCTGGGTAGGGATGAGGTTCTGGTCAAGCAGGGGTTCAAGGAAAACCCAATCTGTTCACAGGCTGTAGAAACTGGAAACTTATGCCATCTTTCACCGAGATAGCATCAAACTACCAATAATACACTTTCTGCTGGTGAAGAATTGTCACACCCTCAGTGTGGCTGCAATCCTGGGTTAGGCAAACTTAGTTCTAGCTCACTGTAGTCAGTGCGGCTGCATGTGATTGTTTAGAGTTTGCTCTGTGTCCCACGGGCTTCAGATTTGATTGCTATCACTCTGTATCTCAAGGGCTACCTGGACAGTTCTGGAACATAGGGGTGTTGTGGGTGATGTAAATGGGCAGCATGAATATTTATACTGCCCTAGCCAATCTTGGTGGGCCCCTGCACAGGTGGCTGCTGGGTAATGGGTGTAATAGTCTAAGATCTGGAGTCTTGTCTTGTCCTGGAGAGGAGAACTTCAGCCTGGAGGACTTGCTGCCCTCCCAGACACTCTTGCCATATGCAAAATCTCATGAGGTGAGATCTTGCATGGTGCACCAGACCTAGGGAGACTGACACTTGTTTTGTGTTTCTTCCATTTGTGAATGATTGCACCAACTGTTGTCACCTTCTCACCAAGCTGCTTGGTGATAGTTTGGTAGCCCAGTCCAGCCTTGTGTAGGTCTACCATCTTGTTCCTGACATCCCTGGACAGCTCTTTGGTCTTTGCCATGGTGGAGAGTTTGGAATCTGATGGTTTGATGGCTCCTGTGGACAGGTGTCTTTTATACAGGTAACACAATGAGATTAGCAGCACTCCCTTTAAGAGACTGCTTCTAATCTCAGCTTGTTACCTGTATGAAAGACACCTGGGAGACAGAAATCCTGCTGAATGATAGGGGATCAAATCCTTCTTTCCCTCATGAACATGCAGATCAGTCATCATTTGTTAGACGCATTTCTGCTGAATTTGTTGTTGTATTCTGTCTCTCAGTGTTACACCGAACATTCCATTGTTAGACCGATCATTTCTGTGTGAGGGGGGAACATTCAGCATCAGCCGGGGAGCAAATACGCATTTCCTTCACTGTATATTGTACATTACATACTCCTGAACTATATTGTACATTACATACTCCTGAACTATATTGTACATTACACACTCCTGTATTATACACACTATATTGTACATACACACTCCTGCATTTTATTGTACAATACATACTTCTCATCGAAGTGTTCATTGTCCCAGCAGTTGCTGGTTGCTAAGCAATTCTAAAGTTCTACTTTAAGATCAGCTCAGAACAAGTATTATCTCTCTGTCTATTTTCTGTGTGTAGAAAACCACATGCAGTATATGGAGTTTCATTTTTTCATGTGTGTCCGTGGAACCCTTAATTGTGATATAGCAATCCAAACATATGTCATAGGTACAGTAAAGCCTGAGCTTTGTTTAACTGTGTCCCTTAAGCCCCTCCCACTGTTAGCAGATTGGTCACGCCCACTGTTAACCACCGCATGGTGCATGAGTCACATTATTACTCTCCTTGGGGTGCCCAAAGATTGTCTCCTCCAGGACACATCATTTAACCACACCCAATCTTTATACAGGTCTCTATCTGCTTGAAGTGTCTCTCAATCTCGGGTGCTAACATTGGTAGGCATGGCTGTAATGCACTGTATAGAGAGCTGTAGTGTGCTACATTACTGTGGAATGCAGTGTGGTGGGTTACATGTTAATGTGTATCATCATTTATCTTCGCAGTGAACACACCACCGCAGTGAACACACCACCGCAGTGAACACACCACCGCAGTGAATATCTGTTGCTTTTTAGCAGATGCCATTTTATTTTTTTATTTTTGACAGGAGTATCCCAGCCCCAGGCACTAACAGCCATCCACACTACTGCAGCCCCAGGCACTAACAGTCATCCACACTACTGCAGGGCCAGGCACTAACAGCCATCCACACTACTGCAGGGCCAGGCACTAACAGCCATCCACACTACTGCAGCCCCAGGCACTAACAGCCATCCACACTACTGCAGCCCCAGGCACTAACAGCCATCCACACTACTGCAGGGCCAGGCACTAACAGCCATCCACACTACTGCAGGGCCAGGCACTAACAGCCATCCACACTACTGCAGGGCCAGGCACTAACAGCCATCCACACTACTGCAGGGCCAGGCACTAACAGCCATCCACACTACTGCAGGGCCAGGCACTAACAGCCATCCACACTACTGCAGGGACAGGCACTAACAGCCATCCACACTACTGCAGGGACAGGCACTAACAGCCATCCACACTACTGCAGCCCCAGGCACTAACAGCCATCCACACTACTGCAGCCCCAGGCACTAACAGCCATCCACACTACTGCAGGGCCAGGCACTAACAGCCATCCACACTACTGCAGGGCCAGGCACTAACAGCCATCCACACTACTGCAGGGCCAGGCACTAACAGCCATCCACACTACTGCAGGGCCAGGCACTAACAGCCATCCACACTACTGCAGGGCCAGGCACTAACAGCCATCCACACTACTGCAGGGCCAGGCACTAACAGTCATCCACACTACTGAAACCTTTCCAAAGGAACAACAAACATTTTCTTGTAAGATAACAGAATTAACAATTTTCATTCAATTATTGTATTATTTGTATGAGAAAAGTTGGGTGACCAAGACCACGCATTCTCGGAAACAAAAGAACACAATACATTACATCACTTTCGAAGTTGTAATCTGTCCTACCACAATTTTCATAACTTTAGTAACCTATTCCTTTTCGATATGAGACTAGCCTGCGAAAAAAAGAATGGATGGTCATTCATCTGATATTCTCATTGTGTGTACAAGGCTTTAAGGGGGATGTGTTCTCCAAGGAAGCACCCCCTGATCAGGGAAGACCATGTGGGGCTACAAGTCCAAGGAGAACCGTGTGCTAGAGCAATATTTCTCAACCTTTTTTCAGTCAAGGCACCCTTTAAAATGATGGACAGTCCTGAGCCACCCTTTAAAATGATGGACAGTCCCGAGGCACCCTTTAAAATGATGGACAGTCCCGAGGCACCCTTTAAAATGATGGACAGTCCCGAGGCACCCTTTAAAATGATTGACAGTCCTGAGGCACCCTTTAAAATGATGGACAGTCCCGAGGCACCGTTTAAAATGATGGACAGTCCTGTGGCACCCTTTAAAATGATGGACAGTCTTGAGGCACCTTTTAAAATGATGGACAGTCCCGAGCCACCCTTTAAAATGATGGACAGTCCCGAGCCACCCTTTAAAATGATGGACAGTCCTGAGGCACCCTTTAAAATGATGGACAGTCCCGAGGCACCCTTTAAAATGATGGACAGTCCCGAGGCACCCTTTAAAATGATGGACAGTCCTGAGGCACCCTTTAAAATGATTGACAGTCCTGAGGCACCCTTTAAAATGATGGACAGTCCCGAGGCACCGTTTAAAATGATGGACAGTCCTGTGGCACCCTTTAAAATGATGGACAGTCTTGAGGCACCTTTTAAAATGATGGACAGTCCCGAGCCACCCTTTAAAATGATGGACAGTCCCGAGCCACCCTTTAAAATGATGGACAGTCCTGAGGCACCCTTTAAAATGATGGACAGTCCCGAGGCACCCTTTAAAATGATGGACAGTACTGAGCCAACCTTTAAAATGATGGACAGTCCTGAGCCACCTTTTAAAATGATGGACAGTCCTGAGGCCCCCTTTAAAATGATGGACAGTCCTGAGCCACCCTTTAAAATGATGGACAGTCCCGAGCCACCCTTTAAAATGATGGACAGTCCTGAGGCACCCTTTAAAATGATGGACAGTCCTGAGGCCCCCTTTAAAATGATGGACAGTTCCGAGCCACCCTTTAAAATGATGGACAGTCCTGAGGCACCCTTTAAAATGATGGACAGTCCTGAGGCACCCTTTAAAATGATGGACAGTTCCGAGGCGCCCTTTAAAATGAAGGACAGTCCTGAGCCACTCTTTAAAATGATGGACAGTCCCGAGCCACCCTTTAAAATGATGGACAGTCCTGTGGCACCCTATAAAATGATGGACAGTCTTGAGGCACCCCATTCTAAAATGGGGTGCCTTAAGACTGTCCATCATTTTAAAAGGGCACCCCATTCTAAAATGCGAAAAACTATTCTAACAGCAACACCCACACATGTAGGACACCCAACATTAGAAGTGATTTATTCTTCCAAAGCAAATACACTTTTGCACACTGGTACTGAGTAGCATTCCCATGTTTCTCCTCTCCATCACTGAGCTAATGTGACCCCAGCAGTGATGGAGAGGGGCAGGGGAGGGTCAAACTAGGATGCTGTGCAGGTAACTGACATCCTCCTTATCAACTGATGATGTCATTGGCTGTCAGGACGCTGGCAACTAGTAAATCGTAATGGTGCGCAATGAAAACCTGTGGCTTTGTGTAACTAGAAGGTAGACTTCTTCCACTCACTGGCCTGTATACAAGTTTGAGGCAATTTTTAGAAATTTTGCCAAGGCACCCCTGAAGAAACCTCAAGGCAACCCAGAGTGCCTGGGCACCCTGTGTGAGAAAGGCTTTGCTAAAAGGTGTAATAAAAACTGGAAAGCCAACGCTGCTTTGGTCAGTTTCATGTGGAGAGTGAGCAGAAGGGACGTCTGTGTGACTGCTGGGGGGACATTGTTAGAGAGAGCTAAGTGTCTAATGCAGGGTAGGCTGCCGTTAAGCCTGCATGGCTGCTCCTCTGCTTCTAAAAAAAAAAAAACACACAAAACCAAAAATGATAGTTTTTGGTATTTTAGGGTTGGTGTTTATGAGAGCGCCTGTAGCGCAGAGGGTGGAAACAATAGGCAGAAGAAGCAATTGCCATGGATGTTCCTGCAGCTGCGGCTTACTGCCAAGTGGGCTTGAGCAATAAGAAGGGTGGGGATGACGAGGTGGCAGACCGTACTTTGGTGACCAAGATTATAGAGGAGGAGGAAGTAATGAAGAAGAATCACATCAGCAAAACAAGATGGGAGAAGGGGGAGACGGTATGAGGAGCAGACATCCATTTCCAATGGATGGTGGATGGAGGAGGTCCCATGTGTGCAGGGCCACTCCACAGAGCTCAGAAGTCTGTATAAATGCAAAAATAGTAGCTCAAGGTCTAAGTCACGGGTGTCAAAACTGGAGGCCCTCCAACTGTTGCCAAACTACAAGTCCCATGAGGCATTGCAAGATTGACAGTTACAAGCATGACTCCCAAAGACAGCGGCATGATGGGACTTGTAGTTTGGCAACAGCTGGAGGGCCGCCGGTTTGACACCCTGGTCTAAGGGAATGGGTTATTCCATCAGATCACCTGAGGCATGATGGTCTGTAAATCGATGGAGAGAAGAATGTCTGGTGCAAGTGATAACATTTGGAGATTTGTAAAAGATCTTCATAAATTGGCTAAAGGATCAACCTGTGTTTAAAACGTTAAATAATAATTCACAAAATGATGCAGATGAACTAAGCATTCAGTGGCATTAAGAGAACACATTGCACACAAAGCGTTCACTGAATAGGCGAGGTGGAGAGGTGGGACTATGATGTCAGGATGTCCACCTAATCTAATCTGAGAATGCTTTTCATTGAGTATTTTTTAGGGGAAATGCAATGCATTTTCTGAATGGCACATGTACCAAGCAAGCGACCCGCCGTGGGCATCTGCAGGGCATGGAATCTTGAAGACAGGGAGGATCACTGTAGTAGTGGTGCCTATTACAAAGATTATCTGCTTCCACAGCGATCAGCCAGGTATGCAATATGCATACTTACCTTGGTCCAGGCTGGAACAATGCAACTATTCAACATACCCAGAGCTCAGCAACCAAAACCCATTTGTATGTGGCTGTGTCACAGATACAGTGAATGTTAGTTAAGGCAGGGTCCAACCTGTGCTGTGCAGGAATGTTTCTGTGGGCTTACGGTGTTTGAGCACCACCTACGCCCAAAACCCAGTTTTCAGGGTGATAACCAGAAGAGGAATGCTCAACAACCTGAAAAATTTGCCAATGTCCAACATGGCCACCCTCATCTGTGCAAGAATGGGTCCAGACATATTGGAAAAGCTCCAGGGTACGCTGGCAAATGCTGTGCATACTCGGTAGTTACTGCGGTCAAATGGCCTTCATAAGGATGGCAGACATGGTCAGAGATTGCTGGTTGATCTTCAGCTGCCAGAATTCCTTGTTCCTGAGTATTCTGCATCCTTGGATCTCTTGTTACAGATCTTGCCTCTGGACCTGTATTTTGCTTCTCTACTGGCTCTGACCTTGACTTGTTCCCACAGACTTTGCTCTTGTTAGCTTCTCGTGAAGGGCTTTCTTCCAACTCATGCCCAATAACTTTGGCTCAAGTTCCTGACTACGTCTCCTGCCCAGTCCTATCAGTCAGACGTGTCTATTCATCCAGAGTGCCACCCTAGCCCAGCTACCATCCCTGCCTTCAGAAGGCTCTGCATTACAGCTGACTCAGCCGGAAACAACGTAGCTGGCAACCTGAGCCTCATTGGGCTCAGCACTCCTGTCACCATCTCCAGGGGTGCTTTGCACTTAACCACAAGGGAAGCTCTCTCATCACTTTGGCCTCAGACCACGTATGTGTCACCAGTAATTTCATGGCCTTCTGAAGGTAGCACAAAGCCACAAAACACACAATTTTTTGCCAGGTTTGATCCTTTAGAATGCAAGAATATTTGTGTTGGGTTAAGACGCTTCTTTTACGAACCTAGAAATTGTTACTTTTTTGGCTTGGTTAATACTGAGTCAATCGATTCTTTTTTGGGGTTGAATTGCAGTTCATTAACATAAACATTTGACACACCCATTGTGTTTTCCCATGTCGCTGTGAAATTTGGAATGTGCACCCTTTAAAGTAGTGTCGCCTCATGGTGATCCCTTACTGTCCAGGTAATCCTGTCCATTTTCCTGGCTTTTGGCATTGGAGAACACTTAGGCTGATGGACTTTTAACCTCCTGCCGCCCAAAGGCTTTACATATATATGGCCTCAGGAACAAGTATTGCTACCAAGATCATGGCTTCAGCCATGATCCTGGTATTCTTTTTTAGTGCCAGCGTCTCTACAGCCACCCAATGACTTTTACAAGGTGCAGAAAGGGTCCGCCTCCACCTGCCGCCTGCCACTGTTCCTGGGCTCCCGTTTAACATGGGAGCCCAGGACTGCTACAGGCTGTTATGCCAGCTGCCCACAGAGGAGAAGGAGTAATATTCATTCCTTCCCCTCCCTTGTGGTGAATGAAGCTAGTAGCGATTAGGACTTCATCACTGTTTTCGGTTTTATATTTACTTGGCTAGTACCGGCCAGGGAAGCAGCCGATCAAACCAATCTTAGTTTGATCAGCTGCCTTGGAAGACAGAGAAGGGATCAGGGGTCTAATAGACCCCATATCTTTCAAGAGTAACTTTCACTGCCCAAGCTATCACAAGGGATGTTGTTCATCCCTTGTGATAGCAATAAAGTTGAATGAAAAAAAAAAAGTTTAAAAAGTGTAAAAAATATATTTAAATAAAATAAATACAAATTAAATTTTTTTTTAAAGCACCCTTGTCCTTTTGTGCACATGCGCAAATGCGAAACATGCATGTAGATCCAGCATGCATGTGTAAGTGGTGATTGTGCCACACATGTGAGGTATTGCTGCAACTATCAGAATGTGAGCAATAATTCTAGCACAAGACCTCCTCTTTGACCTTAAACTGATAACCTAAAAAGGCTTTTAAAGTGTCACCTATGGAGATTTTTAGTTACAGTAGTTTTTTGCCATTTCACGGGCATGCAAAATTTTAAATCTTGACATGTTTGGCTCACTATATTGTCAAAAGTATTGGGCCACCTGCCTCTACATACGCATGAGCTTTAATGTCCTCCCAGTCTTAGTCCATAGGGTTCAATATTGAGTTGGCCCCGCCCTTTCCACGCACATGACCTTTAATGGCCCCCCAGTCTTAGTCCGTAGGGTTCAACATTGAGTTGGCCCCGCCCTTTGCAGCTAGAACAGCTTCAACTCTTCTGGGAAGGCCGTCCACAAGGTTTAGGAGGGTGTCTATGGGAAGGTTGGACCATTCTTCCAGAAGCACATTTGTCAGGTCAGGCACTGATGTCGGGGGAGGGGGCCTGGCTCGCAGTCTCCGCTCTAATTCATCCCCAAGCTGTTCTATGGGGTTGAGGTCAGGACTCTGTGCAGGCTAGTCAAGTTCCTCCACCCCAAACTGCCTCCTCCATGTCTTTATGGACCTTGCTTTGTGTACTGGTGCGCAGTCATGCTGGAACAGGAAGGGGCCATCCCCAAACTCTTCCCACAAAGTTGGGGGCATGAAATTGTCCAACATGTCTTGGTATGCTGACACCTTAAGAGTTCCCTTCACTGGAACTAGGGGGCCAAGCACAACCCCTGAAAAATAACCCCGCACCATAACCCCCCCTCCACCAAACTTTACACTTGGCTCAATGTGGTCAGGCAAATATCGTTCTCCTGGTAACCACCAAACCCAGACAGGTCCATCAGATTTCCAGACAGAGAAGTGTGATTGGTCACTCCAGAGAACACGTCTCCCCTGCTCTAGAGTCCAGTGGTG